GGGGGGGGGGGTGAGGGAGAGGAGGGGCACGCTCAAATATAACGCCACCCCTCACCGGCGCGGGAACATCGTTATTTTCTACACAGCTGATGAGGCACGTTTACTAAACGCTACGCGGAGGGGGAAAAGTTTACCATAAATGTTTACACACGCATAACACAGTAATGTGTGTGATTTTGACTGACGATTCGCAGAAGACTCCTCTATTCGTAGTGAGAGAATTGCTACAGCAAGCAGAGCCACCTCCCACCCCGGCCCCTGCAGCATCCGACTCACGTCCCCACGTCCAAATACAATTTTCAGAAATCACCCTCTGTCAGTTCAAATGCGTTCAATTTACACACTAAATTGGTATGAACTTTTTTTTTCCACAGTTTACGTTTTTGCCTTTGCATGCTCTATTGCGTATTATTTTAAGCGCAATATGAACAAATTTGGAAAAATATTCGTTTAAAATGGTACGCAATACACAGCCCATGCGCTCTCCCAAACTAGTTCAACACTTAAAGGTCAAGAAGTGATACCACGCAAGAGTTTTTCCCCTCATTTTTTATTACGACGGGACGGCACACGGCTAACTGCAGTAATAAGACTTTTTAAAAAGGGCAATTGCGTCGCTAAGAGGACCCTTACCGCCCCCTCCCCCTCCCTCTCTCACTGAGCCTTCTCTGAGTGCTCACACGATACAGAGCCCGCCGGGAGACCAATATTTCCTCGTTATACAAAACCACGCGAGCGCGACCCTTTACGCCCCCCACCCGCTTTTCCCTCCTTGCTCTACCCCCAGCTCTCCGATTATTCAGATGCAAACTCACCCCCGGCTCCCCCTGAGAGGGTGGGGGTTGCGTGTTCAGGCAAGGTGAGTGGGATAATTGGGTCAAACAGGTGCAATTTTGCATAACCTGTCGGTTCGTTTAACTTTACCCAAAATTAGATCCCACCCGCACGCGCCCGCACAACCCCCCCAGCGAGCCCTCGAAGGCCCGCATGTTATTTTTAAGACTAACGTACACAAAAAGCACGTGCAGCGAGCGACGCTCCGCGAGGTGAACGATCTGGCCCCGCTCACGCGGGCCGGGGCGACCCGCCAGTATAAAGATGTAAGCAGGATTCCAGGAATAGAAGTATACGAAAAGGGGCGGGGGTTGTTTTGGGTCGAGAAAAGAAACTCATTTGTTTCCCGCTGACGCTGCTTTCGAGGGTTGCACGAAAAGAACACGCGTGCCCCCCTTATCTCTCTCTCTCTCTCTCTCTCACACACACACACACACGCACACGAAACAAGCCCGGGCCCTCGCTCTGCCCCTTCTCCCCTGCCTCTCTCTATCTCCCGCCGTGAGGACGGCAGTACACTTTAGTCGGGACGAACTCTTAATCCATGTTAACTCAGCTAATCCCCTTACGCCAACCGCCAGCCCGGCAAGACTGGTGCTATACTTCATTCGCGTTCCCTCTGCATGCCTGAGGCGGCCCTCCAACACAGACGCACAAACACACACACACACACACACACACACACACACACACACACACACACACACGTGTAACGACTTGCTCCTCTGCGCCGCTCGTATGCACACAACGACAAGCCCCATAAACTGCGGCGTGGCCATAAAATGAAGGCTATTTTCATGGCGAACAAGAAAGAAAGCGAGGACGAAAAAAATGTTCATAATAATGGCGGACAAACGGGATGAGGAGGAGAGGGATCTTGCTGTCGTAAACCTGCGTACTCGTTCTAATCCAGACGATGCGAATGTTGTGGGAAAGTCCTACACTGACACGTGTAGTGAGGATGTTGATAAAATTCACACGTTTTCGTGCACCCAGACCCAGACAACCATTTAGGTTATAAATGAAAGAAACAAAATGTAGCTCCTGACACGGATGAATTGTGGTTTGCAGATCTAAAATTTCATCCGTTTTTAATTTGGTTCTCTGGACTAAAAGTGTTCAACTACAGCGAGACCGGCCCAAGCTGTTTAGGGAACGGACCGTGTAGCTGATAGGGATGAGCCCAGTTCTGGTCTGGGGGACCTTTAGGTTAATGGGGAGACTAGGAATGAGAAGTCTGGATTACCTTGTTCACAACGCTTGGTCTCTCCGAGACTCCCTCAGGCATGCTCGTC